CGCTGCGAGCAAGCGGCAGAAAACGGGCGGACCCCGCAGTGGTTGGAAGAACCGATTGTAAAATTACTGTTTTGCGTGCTCAGTGACTCAAATGCACTCATTTCCTAAGGAAAGTGCAAGATTTTTTACCAAACTTAGTTGCTTTTGTGTTTGTTTGCTTGGATTTTATTTTTATTTTTTTTTAAATATGTTACTTTCCAGAACGAGGGCTCTTAACGCAGCAACTCTCTAGCTTCATTCACCTTGCAATTAGGATTTTTTAATGCTTTTCTGCTTAGAACAACACTTAACAGGTGAGGCCGTAGCAGTTTAGGTATGCGCGCTTCACTTTTGCCAGCTTCTACGTGTTGGAAAAGAAATCCTCTCTGCTGCCTCGGCGGTGAAGGTGTGCTCTGTGCAAGGCCAAGCATGAAGCACACGGTGGCTGAGGATCTCTTAACATCGCTGAGTTAAACTGCCCAGCGAGGGAGAGAAAGGATGGGGTTTGGATTGGCGAAGGAAAAATAGTTTCTGTGATCTGAACACGGAACATTTGCCGGCTCTGGGATCCTCACAAGCGAAGAGATAGTATCTGCTTTTTGTAATGCTCCTCTGCTCTCACTTTGGTCAAGTAGAGAGCAAAATTCAGAAGTTATTAAAGCTGTGGTAGGAAATTTTTTTCTGGCCTTTGCTGGACGCATCTACTGCTCTGTGAGCAGATCCATGTGCCAATAATCTTGAAATCTGAACCTTAGTTTGCTTTCTTTCGATAATAAGTTGTCGTTTTCCTGGAAGAAGCTGTAGTTCCGTTAAGGGATTGAGTTATTGCCAAACCCTGCGCTCCTCTTGATAATTCTGAAGATAATTCGTTCTGTTTTGCTTTTAGAGGGGCAGGTTACCTGTAGGACAGTGTGCATAGTGACAAAGAAATAACACAAAAACATGTAGCTATTGCATTTTATTTGGTGGCTGCTTTAGTTTTCAGTGTCTTTGGTTCTCTCTTTCCACTTGAGTGTTGCGTTGCTGGAGGGAATCAGCTTTAGGGATCTTGTGAGTTCCAGGAGGGCTGACTTAGCCCTTCAGCTTGGCAGGGGTGCATCAAGTGAATTGCACTCAAGATGCTTCAGTCGCCTTTTTCCTTACAAGTGACTTTAACTGGGGGATTTACCCATTTGCTGTGGATATTCGAGGTTCCTTTTATCACGTTACGTAAGAATGCAAGCTTGTACCACGTCCCTAAAGGAAATTCGGCTTTGTCTTCCACTGCTCACCTGGCTTGGATAGAAAGCAGAAGTCCTCGATACCAGAGGTATCTACATTTCGGTATCTGCGTCAGTGTGTACGCAAACACATACAAAGACCTGAAGAAAGGGCTTGGTGCAAGAGCTTGGGGGTTTTTTTTGGTATTGTTGTTTGCTTTTTTTCCAACTGTATTGATTTATAGCCACAAAGTGCTCTTACATGTCCTGGAAACTCCCACTTGCTTTAAGTATCCCGCTGAAGCCCAGCGAGACTCCTTGCCTTACTGATGAAGGATCTAACGCCTAATTTGCAAAGTGCTTTGCAATCTTTTTGGTAGAAGGTGGTGTTAAATGTAGGATACTGCTAAGCTGATTGTAGCAATGAGAGTATTTCACAACTGTTGCATTTCACAACTTTTTGCATTTGTAGTATATTTCAATCTGAATGCATGTGGGTAAATAGATGAGACGAATGCGGGAAGGGGTGTGATGGTGGTGGGGAACTACTTTTTGTTGGGTTTGGGGGTTTTAAAATTTTATTATTTTAAACTATTACTATTCCATTAAGAATTTCCGGCTTTGAGATTATTTAAGAAAATAAAAAAGGCTCACTATTCTCCCCACGAAGCTGCAATAAACTAATGTTACGCTTGCACTGGAAAGAAAACTGAACTGGTTTAAAAGTCAGATTTAGACAACATTAGCTTGAACTGACTTGAAAGATGAACCAATGTTTCACCAATAGAACCAAAATGCATTAAGTTGCCTAAGCTGGTAGGACAGCATTTTCTACAGGTGTCCTGCTTTTGCCTATGGGCAGAAGTTGTCTTAGGGCTTTCTCGTTCCCAGCAATCTCAAAATGTTCAGAGTAAACATAATACTTTTTTTTTTTTGTATACTACAACATAAAGGGAAAAACTCTAATTTTTCATCTTCTTTTCCCCAGTATTCAGTTGAGGGTGTTTCAAACTAGTGTCGTGGGTTATTTCAACAGTAACCAGGGAGGGAGTTATTTCTCTTCTCAGAAAAATTCACTGCCAGATTGATTTGAGGTCCCTTGGACTAATTTCCCTTTGTAGTCTACAACTAATAGGCAACTTCTAGGTGGTGTTTTCGGAGCAAAGATACAGGAAAGCTCTTGGGGAAAGAGGTGTTTCATTAATTCACATTTTCTAGTTCCACATGGGAACTGGAGCAGGTTATGGCTTGGTAGCGTTACGTAGGATGTGCTAGAGGTTTTGTAGGTTGTAGGCCAGTGAGCGTGCGTAACTCTCTGTGTTGCATTCAGAGCATGAGCAGGTCAGTTGTGCTCTTAACCAGCTTTGCCTTTTTATATAGGCTGGTGTAATCCAGCCAAGTTCGGTCAAATTAATCCTGATTTACACTGAGCGTGAATGAGATCAGAATTAGGTTTCTGGGCTTTTTGTGTTGACTAATCCTTGCAGTGCACTGAATCAGAGTATGAACCTTGTGAAACTGGGGTGCCTAATTTTGAAGAACTTTACCTTTAGGAATGTTTTTCATGTGTTCTAACAGGTGGCTTTTTTCTGTTTGGTTTTTTTTTTAATTCCCTTTTTTTTTTTTAATTCAAGTAAAAGACCCGTCTTGGTTCTTCAGAATGACTCTCTCTACTCTCAGAGACGTCCTTACACCAGTGAAGATGAGGCCTGGAAAACCTTTCTTGAAAATCCCCTTACAGCAGCTACCAAAGCTATGATGAGCATCAATGGTGATGAAGACAGCGCTGCTGCCCTCGGACTGCTCTATGATTACTACAAGGTAGTTTGGCGTGGGTACGCTCTGACAGCCTGCGGAGCTCTTGTTCTACCTGTGGAAAAGGTGTAATTTGCTTAGAGGATTTTTCAGAAGCTATGAATTGCAAGGACTTTAAACTGTGTGGCTTTCAGATGGAAAAAAATTTCCATGTCCGGTCTCCTGAAAACTGGTTTATTTTTAGCTTGGTAAATTCATATCCTCCACATCTTAATGTAATGGGTCAGAAGCTTCAGTAGCGCTTTGCCTGTGGACTCCGGCCTCTGCAGGAGGCAATATATTGTAGAAATAGTCACGAGGAATGGGAATTCAGGAGCACGTCCCTGTCTGAATGTAAATACCCACGGAGAAGGAAACTTCTCTCCTTTTGCAGGCGTGATCCCTATTCTGGTGGGACTGTTGGCTTTTGTTGGGGTTTGGTGTGCTGCCTCAGACTCAGGTGATACCAGGCTATGACTGCAGATGTTGGGTGGTGTGTGGGGTGGAAGTGTCCCACCTGCAGGAGCTGCCCTCTGCATCCCTCTGACATTCGGTGAGCTTCAGCTGCCAGAATCTGTTAATCCTTTGGCAACTGTGGTTCTCTTACCCAGCACTCGCAGTCTTCTCGGAGACACGTGCCTTCCTGGGTGCTCGTGGGTCAGTTGAATGCAGTCAAACAGAGAACCCTCTGGTTTGTGTGGGATGTATTTTGCTGAGCTTTCTTAAATACCAGAAGTCCAAGCCAGGGTTGTTATCTCTGGTCCAAGTCAGTGGAGACCTGGAGGCGTTTCCAGGCAGGGATGCGTCCTGCTCGTGCTGGGCTCCCGCGTTACAGTGGCCTGGCTCACTGGGTGGAGATGCCTCCTTTTTCTTTGCTGAGCGTGCAGGGTGGCCAGGAGGCTGACTTGGCTCGCGTGCCTGACACTGTGGCAGGTGTCTGTTAACAGCAGTGAGTGCAATTGCTGGCCTAGGTGTGTTCTTCAAACACGAAGAGAAGGCTGCCTTGCGCATACAAAATCCTTGCCTGCCCTTTTGAGAGTTGAACATGTCTCACGTATCAAAATATTCTTGTAATGCTTAATATAGAGATTAGCACTACACACACACACACACGACAAAATGCCACAAACTCACTGATGTGGATGTTATTCAGCTAGTTTTGTGAGAAAACTGGCTTTCGGCTTTGTGCCTGTGCTTGCTGTGCTTTTGGAAAAAAAAACCAACCAAACCCAAACAACAAAACCCCACACTTTTACCAGAATGATTTTAATCCACAAAATCCATTTTGATGTCTCACCCTGTAGATTACAAAGGGAATGCTGATGCTGATGTTGATCCTTCACACTCGGCAAAGCATAAAGGATTTACTGTACCTTAATGTCTAATTCGGGGTTTCCTCTTCTGTTTGGGTGTCCGTGGGTGTACAGAAAAAGCAGTGGAAGAACAGGTATGCCATACACTTGTGTGAAGCCAAATGGTTAGAGGTTGAAAGATTTATTGAAGGCTGTTATGAAGTAATGCTAGAGGGATGACAGCTAGACAACTCTAATACGCCCCCTCTGTAATATTAAAGGCAGCCAATGACGTTGCCTTCATGTTAAAAAAAACCCCAAACACAAAAACAAACAAACAAAAAAACCCCAAACCAACTTGATTTTTTTTCTGTTTGATTAATGGGCTACTCCAATAGCTCAACTGTGGTTAATAAGCCTTAAGGGAAGCACATTTTTTGATCAAAATCTAGAGTTTTGCAGTGTTGGCCAAATGCAGCTTGGAAGACCTTTGTTTTGCAGTGACTAGTTAGTGCAGACTTCCTAGCAGTCTCCAGCCAGAGGTTCTCCAAATTTTACTGGTTGCCATGGAAAATCAACAATTCTGATGTTATTGGGCTTTCCACGTTATGTGTAAGAGTCAAAACTTGGGTTTTAGTCAGGGGCTGTAAAGAGAAGTATCCTGTTCACACAGGTATGCCATCAGCCTTCCAGTTAGCAGTAAAGCAGTGGTTCCTCTCGTTGCACCCAAGCTGGCAAATGTGGGCAGTATCTGAGTGGGCTTCAGTGAAGGAAGGTGATGGGAGTTTACTCCTTCTTACGCCAGTAGGTGTTGCTTTGCTCGTTCCTGAGGGGTGCTGAGGGTGACAAAAGTCCTGAATACCACGTGTGAGTTTGCAGAGGAACTTCTGTTGACTTGCTGCACAGTCAAGGGGATCTGAACACTATGGGCTTGTTCCAGTGGTGCTGAGGTCCCTTTGGATCACTGGTGCAATGGCTGCGTGCTCCAGGGAGCCAAGGTGCCGCAGATTGAAGAGTTCACCTTCTGTGTGCCTTGGCCTTGCAGCACGGCCAGGAAGGTGACACGTGTCTGCGTGTGGACGAGGTGCCTTGTGTGATCGGCGTTGTGGGGTGTGGTGTTTTCAGGGAAAATGCCATCCGTGACATAAAATGCAAGGAGCAGTGTTGAGATGTCTTAAAGGCTACCAGCAGTGCTCTGGATATGGTTTATAAAAGATTTATTTCATACAGTTTGGATCAACGTGTTGCACATAGGCAAGCACAAACGTGAGCTGTGGCAGCCCAATACAGTTACTGGACCTGGTCCTCTCTGAATCCCCTGGGCTCCGAGGAGAATAGAAAGCATTGAGTGTCTTTGAGGAGGTGACCTAGAGAGGGCAAGGGGCTATGGAGCAGAGTCCTTTAACAAGCCTTGAGCTCATCCAGCAAGCTGAACCCCTGCCAGCCTGCGGAGGAGGAAACCTTCTCTGTCGGCACAAACCTTGTGACCTCTCCTCCTGGTCCTGCTCGCCCCGGTGCTGATGCTCCAGCCAGGAAGGCTGATCTTTTGTTCAGTTTTTCCCACTGCCTGGCACTGGCAGGAGCCCAGGGCTGGCACAGCTGGCTGGATCTGCTACACTGGGATCTGTGGTGCATCACCTGGGACAAGCCTGGCATCCCAAAGCCATGTGAACGCTGTTCAAGCTGTAATGCTAATCATGTCTGGTATCGGAGAGTGAGACTTTCTTAATTTGACCAAATGACTGTGTTTTGAGAAGCCTTTTTTGTCGGTTGTTTTGGTTTTTGTATGGGAGGAAGAATGCGACTGCAGCATGTCTTGTATTTCCCAGGTTCCAAGGGAGAGGAGATCTTCAACAGCTAAACCAGAGGTAGAACATCCTGACCAAGACCATAGCAAAAGGTATTAGGTTGTCATTATTGTGTGTCTGCTTATCTCCGTTCCATCCAAGACCACTGAAAATGCGAAAGTAACTTGCTGCACTGCAGCGTTGTGCTGGAAGAGATAAATTGTTTGCTTTTACTCTGCGCCCCAAATCCCTGTGCTGTCCCACAAACCGAATGGGGGGAGAGCTGGGGCCTAAACTGCTTCTCATCACTCTCTATCTGCTTTTGAGCTACTGGTGTCATACACTGAGCATAGCAAAAGCTGCTCTTTTTAACACTAGACATGGCCTGATAGCATGGGCATCCCTTCCCAAGGCTGTGGAGGGGACTGTTTACACTTATGTTTTTTTCTTTTGCACACATTTGCCTCAGTTGCTCGCTGCTGATGTTATTCTCAGGCACCAGTGGCATTGCCTCTTTGTGCACGGGCTGGTAGGGTAAGACTTCCAAGTGCTTGTGATTCAGTTTTGGTTTTGTATTGTTTGTGGACTTCTGTATCCTCTGGAACTCCTTTCTTTCTTCCCTTTCCTGCCCTCCCTCTCTTGTGCCTACCAAGCAGAAGATGATACTGATTAAGTAAATGTTATGAATGTGAGGTTCATTCAAGCCAGGCTTCCACTCCTACCATCCTGTTTTGGACAGCCTGGAATGCTCTAAGGACTTGAGGTGAGGTTTTGTGGTCTGGCTGAGCCAATTGCACGATTCATTGAGAAGAGCAGTTCCCACTGCTCCACTCATACCAGCTCTGTTCTCCCACTGACCCATAACCTAGCAAGAAAAAAAAGAAAAGTGGCCAGTTTTCTGCCAGTGGAACAAGCTGAACTGGCTCACGAAGAGGGTGGGGGAGCATCAGAATTGTTGGAAAGGAGAGGGCAGGACCACATTGTGGGGAGGGAGAAAGGGAGGACAAGGCTGACTTAGTGGCTACCAGCTGTGAAGTCAGCTCAGCCACAGATCTTGGTGTTGCCTCGGCAGAAATGAGTGTGGTAGGGTGAAGAGTGGGAGGTTATGCAAATCACTCCCGGGGCTCTTGGTGTAGGTTTTCTTGGGGGGTTCGTGCATGAAAGACTGGGGTAATTTCCATATTGGTGCTTCCTGGGTGGCACACGGTCCTAGGGCAGAGGAGCAGCAGCCTTACTCTCAGTCCTTCTCCATCCACCCAAGAGCAGTTTAGTGGAGTCCATGTGTGCTGGGAAGGGCCTTAAAGCGCTTGGTGTTGAACTGCTGTTTTCTAGGCAGTGAGGATTTGGGCTGTGAACCCTCACCCTATGCTCCAGGGTAGTTCATCTCCAAGGTTGGAGGTGTAGCAGGGGGTGAGGGGCTTTTTTTTTAATGAGTTTGTCAGCTTTTTGGGTTAGGGTTGAGCTTTTCCCCACAAGCAGGAGAGTTGGTGTAAGCTGTCCTTGTCCAAAAGGCTGAGAAGTATTTCTAGCTCTTGTTTATTGAGAAAATGAGCTGTGTAATTTATGCATGATTTATTTATTTATTTTGTCCTTTAAAGGAACAGCATCCCAAATGTAACAGAACAATCGCTCATTTCTGCTGGAGAAAACAGAGTCCAGGTTCTGAAAAATGTGCCTTTCAATATTGTCCTTCCACACACGCCCCAGATGGGCATGGACAAGAGAGGACACCTTACAACTCCGGACACAACGGTCACCGTTTCCATTGCCACGATGCCCACCCATTCCATCAAAACGGAGACGCAGCCCCACAGCTTCGCGGTGGGCATCCCACCGAGTGTCTATCACCCCGAGCCCCCAGAGCGAGTGGTGGTCTTTGACAGGAACCTCAATCCTGACCAGTTTAGTTCCAACACCCAGCCTCAAAACTCCCAGAGGCGAACGCCAGATTCCACCTTCTCAGAGACCTTCAAGGAGGGCGTGCAAGAGGTACCAAGAGAGGCAGTTGCACTGTGTGTGTGTGTGCATGCGTGTCTTGATCTGGATGGAGAGATCCAGTTCTGTAATTTTTCTTGTTACTTGAGCCAGAAGTCTGTCCAGTGATTTAGGAACAGAAAACTTTCTCAGAAAGGTGCGTAAGTACAACTTAGTAAATAAAACCTTCTCTGTGTGAAATCATTATCAAAAGCAAATGACTAATCTTGCCAGTGACAGAGCCTTTGACTTGCAATGTGGAACTAGTTATCTCGATCCACAGCACTGGGCCAGGTTTTGCAAGAGCTCGGCACTCCATGGTGCTTTTGCAGGTACCGAAGTGAAGTGACTGTGTCTTTAAGCTTCCTTACTGCCGGTTTCTAGGTGTGTGTGTCAGTGGAAAACAGTTGGTTTATACAGGGTCCTTGAGTGAGAGTTAAACCTGGATGAAAATCCATGAGTTTTGTTTTATGGTACCGAGCAAAAACAACAGCATAATCATGTTTTGATTTTTAAGCCAAACCTCAAGGAACTGTGTAGCTGTGCCCCTTTTTTTGAGACTTGGGAAAGCTTTAAAATATTGTCCTAAGCTCACTCGGAAGGCTTGTGAATTGTTGTGTTTAGCTGACGTCCAAAAGTTTTGGATTAAAACCTTGCCTAAGTGTCCTGTTTGTACAGACCAAACATCAGTTGTTATCTGATGATCAATTTGCCTACCAGAAGTTCTGTAGTACCAAGTATCTGTTTAATCTTGACTTTTCTTGTTGTTGTTGTGTTAATCGTTGTGTTGTTCTGTGTCTCCCCCAGGTTTTCTTTCCTACTGAACTGAATCTCCGGATGGCCAACATGAATTCAGAAGATTATGTTTTTGACAGCATTTCTGGGTAATGCTTTAAGGCCTTTGTTTGCCAATATACTCCTATTCCCCTACAGCTGAGCAAGCAGTAAAGCTCTTGCCCTTCTGTGCTAAGTCTTCGTCAGGCAGTGGGGACGCTGTGGATCTCAAAACCACAACAGTGTTTGCTCACTTGAATTTCACAGTTGAAAATCCTACCCGTATCTTTAAGGAAAACTGCACGTCGGGTTGGAAATAGCACCCAGTTTCAGCTGCTGTGCTTGTACCAGCTCCCAGTGCCGTGGGAAGATGCAGTGCTGTCGGTCAGTTCTGCAGTGGTCTTGGAGCTGGCTTCCAGTTGTGTCCCTCTTCCTGGCCTGCTTGCCTTCCTCTTTCCCCGTTGGAAATTACAGCAGAAGTAGGAAACATGAAACTCATCTGAATTCTAAGGGAGAGGAATAAACTAGTTGTTTGGTTAGTTGGACTTGATCAAGAGGGAAGAGGAGAAGATCGTGGCCACTGAATAGCTTATTAGCTTGTGAGTTTAATTTAATTGCTAATAGATACTTTTCTGTTTCATGAGAGTGGATTGCTGCTCTCAGCCTGAACAGGGAGCTTCCAGTCTTGCCTACTAATTTGCCTTGAGATTTAGCTTGCCAAGAATTTCTCTTAAATGTTCATTTATGATGGAAATGGTTGAAAAAGGGGCTCATCTTGCTTTCCAACTTCCTTTCCTGTTGATGGCTCAGTGAGTCAACTAACAACTTTGGAATTTCTCCAGATTAAATGTGGAACGTTTAATCGGCTTTCCAGGAAAATGCCTTAGCAATCACTGCCCTCTTCGCTCCGTAGGAATAACTTTGAATACACCCTGGAAGCCTCCAAGTCCCTCCGACAGAAGCCTGGGGACAGCACGATGACTTACCTGAATAAAGGCCAATTTTACCCCATCACGCTCAAAGAAGTCAGCAGCAGTGAAGGAATCCATCACCCCATCAGTAAAGTCCGAGTGAGTGGCAGCTCTTGTGGTTTCTTGGGAAAGAGGGTGTGTACAGTGGTAGCCTTAAACTCTCCCAAAGTGCAGTAATCTAAACCAGAGCATCAGCACTAAGGCCAGTTTACCCGCTTTCTTACGTCAACGTTTGTTCCTTTGCTGTCCACCTACTTCCAGACCAACCCATCCTGGCTCAGTCTGTTAAGAAGTGGTGTCAGCACTTGTGTAAAGGTGATGCAACACCTGGAATGAGAACCTTGAACTCCAGTTAGGAGAGCAGTTCTGCTCATCTCTGTTGGTGACCCAGAAAGCGCTGCTCTCTGCCTTCCTGTTTGGCAGCGGCGTGCCAGGTACACCCCAGTGCGTCAAGTTGGAAAGCCTAAAGCAGAAGACCTGATACCAACGAGAACTTCCAAAACAAATGTTCTCTCTGGCCTTTTCTGATTCATGTGTTTGTGTTTTGTGGTTGGTTTTGTTTTGTTTTTTGGTTTTTTTAATCTTACTCCCTCCCCTTCTCCTTTCAGAGTGTCATTATGGTCGTGTTTGCTGAAGACAAAACTAGGGAAGATCAGCTCAGGCACTGGAAGTACTGGCACTCAAGACAGCACACTGCGAAGCAAAGATGCATTGACATAGGTAAGGAACACTCTCATTGCTGATGTCAAACTCCAGTCTTAATTCCTTGGCAGGGTTTGGCTTTCTGTTAAAGCTTTGTTATTTTAAGGAACCATTGGATCACTCACTCTGCTACCCGTAGCTTTGCTGAAAGCCCAGAGAGAGGTCTTCATTGCTTGGGGCTAATGCTGTAGTTTTTAGAACTCATTAAAGAGACTGATTTTTTGGGAAGATTTTGGTTGGTGAGCAGGCTCACTTCAGTGGTTTGCATTGGGAGATCTAACACCCCCATCCAAACTACGTTTTCTTTGGTGTATCCTAGTGCTTGTGGCTAAATCACAGCTTATAGACTCTGTGGCTGTCCTAAATATTGTGTTTTGTCAAAGGACAAGGTCTTCGTAGAAATACCTCGACACTAATGATCCTCCTTTCCACAGCCTTGCTCACAACTGGTCTTTGGTATATTAAAAAAAAAAAAAAAAAAACCCACGGCAAATTTCCCCTTAAAACCCACGGCAAATTTCCACTTGCCTCCAGACAAGGCCGAGGCTGGCTCGCTTCCAGCCTTCTCTGGCTGAAAACTGGCTTGTACTCCTCATCCCTTCCTTCTGTGAATAAAAGCGGGGATTAATCACTTGGCACTTAAAGCAGACGCGCATGCAAATCTTTGTTTGTTATTGAAGGAGTTTTACTGAGAGCTTATGCCTTTGCTGTACAGGGTAGAGTTTGCTGCGCAGAGCAGATTGCAGCATGGGACACGCGATATGTGGGACGTCTGTCTCACTGGAGTTTCTAGATTGGAATTTCTGCAGAGTCCTATTTTCCTCCTTCCTCCTGTTTGTTGTTTTTGTGGTGTTTGTTTTTTTGTTTTGGGGTGGGAGGGGGTTTAGTTTTTTGTGAGAACCATTTCAAGCCTTTTTAATGATCTATTCTTAAGTACAGTTCAGCTTCCTTCACACCCAAGGGGTTGCTCAGGAGTTGCAGTTTCTGGCTGCTCTGTGTGATTAAGGACTCCAGATGGTATCGCCTCTTCCTCTCTCTCATGCCTCCTTCTTTCTAACAGCTGACTACAAAGAGAGCTTCAACACCATCAGTAACATCGAGGAGATTGCCTACAATGCCATATCCTTCACTTGGGACATCAACGAGGAAGCAAAGGTATGTGACTACAATTATATTTCCTGTCCTTTTAGCCGATTCGGGAGCTGGGGGAGGGGAAGGGTGTGTGGCCTACCTGGTGATTAGCATGTAACAAGTTTGTTTACGCTCTTACATTAGGCAAAACCTTCTGGCTATTTCTTAAGAGGGTTTGCATGTGCAACTGCAGAGAGCTTTGCAGCTGCTTTAAGGCTCTTGGCAGAACTGCCTGCCTGACAGACAAGTACTGACAAAAAGGAAGCATCGAGCGTTTTCCAGAGCAGATGAAGTGGCACAGGAGGTGTCCTTGGCAGAGAGCATGGTCTCCCAGAGGATCCGGGCCAGGGGCAACTTCTGAGGGAGTTAAAGCTGTGGCAATGGGCTTGCCTGTAGCAAAAGAGGGAGTAGCTGTTGCCATCGAGCTTCCAAAGCACATGTCACTGAAACCGCAGATCCCAACACCCAGTGACCTATTTCAAGCTAGAGCAGCCTCCTAGTGAACTCTGGTTTGATCTTTTTTTCAGAACTGCAGGCACTACAGTAGGTGCTTAAGTATGGGCAGCTTCCCTAGCTAGCAGCTATCTGCAGCCATTTGAAGCCCTTCCAACTTTTGGAAAGAGGCTTTTTTGAAAAAAGTCTTCTGGGTGTGAGGACAACTGATCAGAGAGCGGAGTCACCTCAATCCCCACTAGTTTGTTTCTGGAGTCAAATTGTGGAAGTTTTCTTCAGAGACTTTCATCACTGCCTGGTTTCTTGTTAAAAATCAGGAATTATTTCCTTCAGTTTTTGGAGACTGGCAGCTCCCTTGGCTAGTATGTCATGTGCCAGTTGTCAGCATCGTGGGGAAAACTGCCGACGGCCGCAGAGTGCCATGTCTCAGGAGAGCCCCTCTTGGGGGACATGGAAGCTCTCAGCAGAGAATGCAAAGGTCCACACACTCTGGAGCCGTGTGTGTCACCGTGCTCTCGGGGGGCACAAGGGCAGGTGTCACTGCACAAAGCTTGCTGTCACTGTTAGATTTGCTCCATGCTGTACAGGCACGGTGAGGTACAGGAGAGGTGATCTAGGGCCTGCTGTTGGGTTTCGGCTCACGGGAGAGGTTTGAGATGCTTGGCAGAGGCAGCAGCAAGGGGCTGTGTGTGCCACTGCTGGAAGTGTTGCCTCGCAGCGTGTGTGACATTACTTTGTGAGGCTGGTGTTGGGTGGCAGGCTTCTGTACTCGCTAGATTTTGGGGCTTTAGTCACGTCAAGAGGCATGGCAGGAAGGCCTTACCTGCTGGAAGGTGCTAGAAGGCTGACATGATGAAGCACTTTGCTGCGTGAACAAACAGCTGAAGCTTCAGAACGGCTGTCAAAAGGAGGCAGTAAGTGTTCCTGAGATGTTATCCTGGGTAATTGGTGTCTGCAAGGTACTTGATGGCTTAGGTTTTGAATGCAGGGTGGATCATGGGGACAATACAACAATTCAGGTCCCCAAGGAACTGGAAGCACTTGGCAGCTCTGTAGCTGCCTCTCTGCTGGCTGAGCCACGCTACAGCAGTAGGGATGAGCCGCTAACCCAGGAGCAGGGCTTAGAGCTGGTGCCGAACACCCTGTGGCTATCTGGAAAAAATCTGTCCCGTCACACCAGGTGACAGAGCCCAGTCGTATGAAGCAGGTGGTTATCGCCCAGGTACTCTGCTGACCCCGGATGAGTAGCTTCAGTCTATAGTGAGATTGCCAGTAACAGCTTGAAAAGGTCTAAGGACCCTCATGGCAATGTTTCAGCTCAGGGCTGAATTTCATGGGATAAGGTGGTATGGGGGTGTGAGCCATACTTCTTTCTTTTGTAGCTACAGAGGCAAATTTGCTTCCAGATTCACAGTCTCAGCGTGTGAGATCATATACTTTGAGTATCGATTTGTACAAACCTGTAGAGAGGACTGTTGATATGAAAAGTACAAGCCTTGGCCCCTGGGGTCAGAGTCATAATAAGACAAAAATACCCTGGAATGCAGTGTTCAAAGAATTGGTGTTTTTAGCAAGTGCTTTTTGTGTTTAAGTGTCTGTTTAACTCTTTTTTTCTTTTTTCTTTTCTTTGCCTGAGTGGATGCATTTTGTCAATGGTTGGATTTCTCACCAGTGGGGCTGCAGTTCTTTCTCAACTCGTGTGATCTTATCAGGAGATGCCTGAGCCAATTTCAACAATTTTTATTGCATGGTTCATTTACCTTGCATGCTCTCTCTCTCACTCGCTCTCTCGCTCGCTCGCTCTCTTTTACTTTCCTTTCCTTCCCCCCAACAATAGTCTTGAAGTATATGAAGAGAGCAGAGAATAGAGAGAGCTGAGTTTCTGATCATCCAGAAAGTCCTTGGCAGTAATAAATAGTGTCTTACATTTAATAACAGCAGCAGTGCTACACAGACATATGTTTAACCAGCCAGCAAGCCTTGATTATTAGAAATTTGCTTCCTGAGCCCTGGAGTTACCTGGCCCAGAGCCAGGTGCTTCTTCTGGGGTTGCTGCTTCTCCCGTTTCCCTCTTGCTCCTGCTCCCAGTTTGCTGTGGGAATGATTTGATCCTGTTTGGGGCTGTCAAAGGGGAGGTGATGTGGCTCAGCGTCTGGGGTTTCTCATGTAATTACTCATTTAGACACCCAGGGCTCTGGGTGTATGTTGGATTTAGGGGAGAAATAGCATAATAAATATAACCAGAAGTTGCCCCTAGCAGCTCTGGGGCTTGCCCTTCTGGTGCCAGCCCTCGCTGAGGGGATTTACAGGAATATTGGGCCTCTGCTGCTCTCTCCATGCCAGAGGGTTTCGCCTGCCTGAGCAAGTGGTTTGTCAGTTGTCTTGGGGAACTTCAGGGATTTTGTGAAATGCAGCTCTGTGGTGCAGAAACACCATTTTCAGGCAACAGGAGTCACGTTCTGCCTCTCTACTAGCAAGGACAAGGTGCAGATTTTGCAGCTACAGAGTTGGAGGATGGAAAGGATTTTTGAGACACCCTGAGCAACCAGTGTTTCCCAGTTGCGGCAGGTCTGTCTCCGCAGGGCAGGAGTTGTTCCACAGCTGACTGTGACCGTGTGCTGTTTGTGAGCCCATGCGAGTAGAAAACACGACTATTTTGTGCCCGACAGACACCTACTCTGGGACAAGGCAGTGCCCGTGGGTTTCCGTGCAGATACTGTGCACTACTTTCTCACAGCTCCTCTCTGCCCTCTTCTGTTGCTTTGGGACATCACAGGAGCTCCTAGAAATGGCCACTCTGGAATAGTGATGGGTTAAGTATTCCCTGAATATGTTCAAGCTGTCAAAAGATCTAGAATCCAAAGCCTCGTTGTTCTGGAGAGTGAAGGGAGCTGAGGGTTTGGAGGAGGAGACAGACTGTGCAGAACTGGTGCTCCTGAGGCTGGAAAGAGAATGAAGACAGAATAGAAAGACTGAAATGAGACATTGTGGAATGGGGAAGTGGTGATCCTGGTGGGCTTTCCGGTGTGTCCGTGGTGGAGGTGGGGTCTGACCCCACTATCTGACAGATCGGGGGAGGGGAAGAATTGGATGAGGAGCTGATCATGCTTTGTGAGTAGAAGAGGGAAGATGGTGAAATGGGAAATCAGTTGAGAAACTGGTGAGTTGTTGAATTGGATATTTAGGAAAGCCAGGACAATTGCTCAGTCAGGAGCCATCCTGGTTGGGTCTGATGAGTCTGACAAAGATGTGTGGCTGATACGCTCGCTTGCATGCAACAGGTAATGCTGGAGTTACCCTGGGGCTTGTAGAGACTTCAAACAGTTTTCCACCCTGTTCTGGACGTCTGCCGTGTCTGGCAGACAGTCGAGGTGGGGTTCTTCTCCTGTGAATAGCTCTTAGATGTCTGAACACAAATTCATCATCTTCCACTTCTGTGACTTCTTTAGGGAAGGGATGTCTAGGACTGGGATGGAGGATTCTCTGGAGGTGTCTGCCCCTCGTTGGCTGAGCAGGCTTGGCCATCTTGAAAATTTAGAGGATTTTGAAGGTAGGGAAGAGGAATCCTGTCCTTGCAGCCCTTTTTCACCTCTGTGTGTCAGTTGGGAGAAGCGTTTAGGTCATGAGTTCTTGAGGCTGGGAACCATCTCTTCCCAGGTCTGTACGGCATGCTCAGTTCTCCTTCTTTTGGTTTGTACCTGTTAGAGGTCATTTAATGAAAACTGTCATGGTGCACATGATTAAATGCCTATTTCTTTTGAGCCTTTCCTGCTGCTCTTCATAATGTTGGCTTTTGTCCTGTTACCTCTGTTGTGTTACCCGTTAGGCTGTGAAGCAAATTCTCTGTCCCTCAACAGTGGCCTGGGGACATGGCCTGCTCTCGGGTCAGTGGCAGTTGAACAATCTGGACAGATCGGTTTCCCCAGGGTTAACTGGCTTTGCTGGATCCCGCTTTGCTCAAATCCTGTCTGAGATCCTGCCCGGTGGAGCAAGGAGGACTGGGGCCTCGTGTCTGAGCAGGGCGAGTTACTGTCTGCGTGGTGATGTCGAAAGCCTGTTTGCCCCATTTTTGTAGCCCAAGCAGCGCGAGGACCTTGCTGTTGTGCTGGGGCAACCCTTCTGCGTCTGCCCACGGGTCACTTGGGAAATGTGGTGTTGCTTCCAGGGGCCCCATGAAGGTCTGGGTTGCTTCAGGCTGGGTTGGTGGGACTGGAACCAAAAATGATGTCACTACACATTAAGGGCTCTATTGTCCTCCCACTCCTTCCCTTGGGGGGGAAAAAAGTCATTGTAAGGCAGATACTCTGTGTGAAGACACCCTTTCTACTAAAAAGGGGTATATGGTGAGGATGTAACAAGGGCAATTAGAGCTGGAGAATATTGTGGTAGAGCTTTTTGCTGCCTTTCCACCAAAGGGAAGGTGCTGTGATATCTCTTAAGTGACACACTCAGTGCCAGAGCAATTGATGTTTTCGGTGGGTTATTTTTGTTGGTTTGCTGTTGTTTGTGGGGTTTTTTTGAGGGAGGGAGGTGCTGGTTGTTGTCCAGGAAAAGTAAAATGGTCCTGTACT